CGGTCTGTTTCGGCATTACCGCTATGGGACCTATAGAGGCACCCGTAGACGCGCGGATGGTCGTCGCTGTCTACGCGTAGCCAAAGGATGGACAGGTCCGAACCTTCAAGACTGCCGAGGCGTCGAGAACAGATGTCCTCTCTAACATACACGCAAACTCCAGCCCGAGGCACAAAGTAGTGCTCCAATTTGTACCCCGGGTAGGAGAGATACGAAATATCAGCCGGAGAGGAAACCTGCGTCTCGGTCAAAAAGAGCAAGGCCGGCTTCGCCGTCTCGAGATGGTAGTGGACGGCGTTTAGGTTAGAGTGAAGTCCCCTGATGTTGCAGAAATTCACGGATAGCGTGGCAGGGGTCGCCTTGGTATTGTTGCTCAGCTTGCCCCGAGCAGTTTTGTTTTTGAGCGGAATTTTGCCCCCCCCAGAATACGCGGGGCAGCCTGAGCACCCACGCTCAGGATTGGAATAACATGGTCGTGGATGCTCAGCGAGGGATTCTCCAGGGGTACTGGTACCCTCCTGGGGTAGTCTATTGTCTAATTCCGCTACCATGTTGATGGGGGGGGGGGGGGGGGGGGGGAATTGGGCTTCCGGCCACCTGCACTCACCAGACGAAACGCAGAAGCAGAGCCTCTACTTCACGCCGGTATTCTGTGAGGTCGTGGTACCAACCCGGCTCGAGCCGGCCCATACGTGCAACAGCAAAAAACTGCTGCAGGGCTCTACCACCGTTAAACCTATCCGTTGGGAGACACTATTGAGGTCATTGAGCATAGTGCTTAGGTCCTCCAGCGATTCTGCCATAAGGACTATATCGTCGGCAAATCGAAGGTGTGTGCTGTACTCGCCAGTGATATTAAATACCGCATCCTTTCGAGTCCAGTCGCTTGAAAACGTCTTCCAATGCAGCGGTGAAGTTTCGGGGATATAACGTCACCCTGTCTTACACCTCTCTTCAGTTGGATAAGTTTCGTACTCTGATTCTGTACTCGGATAGCCATCGCAGCCCTACTGTACAAACACTGCAGCACTTCGATATACCGACAGTCAACTTGGCACCGCTGAAGGGACTGCAGCACATACTACCTACTGAATATACTATCAGTATATTCCGTACTACCTACTGATTATTGATTAACTGTAGAAAAGTAATTGATTTTTACAACTATCGCTTTGTTACAAAGTGTCTGTTTGGATAGCGCGTATTAGTGGTGTAAGAATATCCACTACCTCATATCATCCCGTGGGTTTCGTAACAGGCGACGGAGGGAAACAAATCAGATTAAAATTTAAAAAAAAACTGCGGTTGCCAACCCGCTGCCAAGCGTGGCAACTACGGCACATATTCCTCCTATGAGGCAATCTATGGGGGAGGCCTATGTTCAGCAGCGGACTTTAGTAGGCTGGAACGTAACCGTGTTTGCTTGGAGTCATTTTACTTAGAAACAGTAGTTGGATTATGACTAGCTTTATTTAGGCGTTGCTAAATTAGTAGTAAATGCAAACGTGTATTAATTATCAAAATATAAATTTTTTTATAAACGCCTGTATCCGCTAAATTCTTTCATGGATAACTTTCAACCTTAACTTTGGTATTATACGTTTGGTACAGATGTAAGGCGTTTTCATCATACTAGAATAAAGTGACATTTAATTATCGTTGATACAAACTGTATTGATGGCTGATGGTTTTTTTTAAAAAATATTATAAAACTATCTATTTTTCGTTCAGAAAATAATTAATTGGAACTAAATTACAATCACTTTTATATAAACCAATCCATGGCAAGTACACACAAGATAAACTATACTAAAGCTCCACGAAAAATATTTTGTAGAGGTTCATTATTAGCCTTTTTTTATTTAGTCTACGTTATATAAACGAGTATATGGCACCATGCATTTATCTTGTAAAATTACGTTATGTCTCCGAATAGTAATAAATGTGCGAAATTTATTAATATCTATATTAATAAATCCCAATGTGATAAAAAAAGACTAACACATTCAGATGATTTAACCTTCATCCAACTTCACATTTGGATGATTTTTTTTTGACAACTTATTAAGCCTTCATCATCATCATCATCATTACAGCCCTTCACAAGTCCACTGCTGAACATAGGCCTCCCCCAAAGAATGCCACAAAGCACGGTCCTGAGCCACCTGCATCCATCGACTTCCTGCATATCTTACCAGGTCGTCACTCCATCTAGTGGGGGGACGCCCTACACTTCGCCTGCCGGTACGAGGCTGCCACTCGAGAACCTTTCTTCCCCATCGGTTGTCGGTTCTTCGAGCTATATGGCCGGCCCATTGCCACTTCAGCTTACTAATCCGTTGGGCTATGTCGGTCACTCTAGTTCTACTGCGGATATCCTCATTTCTGAGTTTATCACGCAGAGAAACTCCGAGCATAGCCCTCTCCATAGCTCGCTGAGCGACCTTGAGCTTCCCATGGGGGGTATATTGCCATAGTTGCCACGCTTGGCGAGCGGGTTGGCAACCGCAGTTTTTTTATTGTTATTTTGGCTATTATCAGGAAGATGCTGCTGCCCATCTCCTGCCTGTTTCCCTTTGTCGCCTTTTACGACACCCACGGGAAGATATGGGGTAGTGGATATTCTTAACCGCCACTACACGGCGCCTTAGAAAGGGCTAAATCATTATTGTGCGTTTGATAACACAAACAGGATATTAATTTATATAGCCATACGGGAACGCTCACAAATAAATCAATACGGGAGAAGTCAATATTTTTTACAGTAAAAAAAGTTATTATTGAAAACGTGATGAAAGTGTAAAAATATTTTAAAGAAGATGATATCCAACAGTTTAAAGTATACAGTAAGTATAAAAAGGCAAACAAATTAATAAACAAACATGTATGACATAAAGGGAATATGGGACTAAATTAATACCGCATGAGTTAACGTAAGCCTAACCTAATAAAATTATGTATGTACAATGCGTATACCTTGAAGTAAGCAATTTGTTGTAGGATAATATCAGGAGTCTTGCCTTAAATTTTACAATACGCAAGCAACCAGAGTTCGATTCTCGCCACCACCACCTGTATGTCTAAAAAAACACATGCGTGAAGTCCTTCGACATGCAATGGGGGATCGATGCGAACTCTTCCCTGCTCCAAAATCCTCTCAGAGCTAAGAGGCCTGCGCCTATAATTTTTTACTTTTATTGTATATCTTTGTAATTAAATTTTACCCTGGAGCTCAAGTTTATAGTAACGAATTTATGTGATATTAAAATCAGATTAAAATGAGAAATTAAAAAAAGAGAATAAAAAAAACGGATTAGTAATGTCAAGTGGCAATGGGCCGGCTATAAAGGTCGGAACAACCGATGGAGAAGAAAGGTTCTCGAGTGGTAGCCTTGTACCCGTAAGTGAAGTGTACGGCGGTCCCCCACTAGATGGAGTGACCACTTGGTAAGATACGCAGGAAGTCGATGGATGCCTGTGGCTCAGGAATCGTGTACCCAGGGAAGACAGCACACCCAGATATATAATTTTTTTTCCTAGTTAGGCAACAACCTACAGATTCTACTAAAATTTATTTTATAAATATGTGTTTTTTTCTACAAATAATCGTTCCGGGTCTGGATGTTTGTCCTTGTGCAATTTATGATTGTAAACTGCCCCAACGATACAGGAGAAAATCCTAGTGTGTAGGTTACATTTACTAAAAAAAAAAACAAATAGTTTTAAAAATTGCTCATACAAATAATAATATATTAAGTGGAAAAATACTAAAGATATTGTTGGGTGTGAGGGTAAAAAAACAAATAAAAGGAAACACGAACAAATGTAAGTAGAACTGTAATCACCCACCCGTTCTAGCAGTATAAAGTATCGCGCAGACCGCACGTTGGGGTGTTCTACTAGTGTAGGCAAGACAGATCGTGTTGCTGAGAGGCTGTCCTCTTTGTTACATTGAGACGGGTAGTGGTGCTATTGGTTTGCATACTTTGGTGTTATCATGTAATTGGGTCCTGATAGTAAGCAGGGCTTGTTACCGAGGAGTGTTCTTTTATTAAAATAATTTCTAACATCAGAAGTGGAATACTTTCTTACAATATATTAAAGAACTTATCAAGTGGAATGCGGGAAATAAAGACTGTGTAAGAACCTCCGAAGGAGGCGGTGTTGTAGCCGAAATAAGAACTTTTTTTGATTTTTTTGACCATTTTGACCCCCGGAGTGTAATGAGAAATTTTTGCCCATGACCTCCATGACATCCTCTACATGATAGGCTATTGAAAGTGACTAGGCCTTAAGTTCGAGTTACCCTCCAACTCATTTCTAGTCTTTACTTCCATTACTTCCAAATAGAACCTAAATCATTCGTCAAGTTTTTTATTTTATATCTTTAACAAATTATGATAATTATAAAATTACAAGGCCTGATAACTGGCCCGAGGAAGCATAAGCGTGGTACTTACTTCAAGGTATAACAAAAAATAATAACAAAATAATACATTAAAAATTAGAAAAACTCAAAACATGGCAAGGAATCGGCAATATTTTCAGTGTCAAATAGACGAATGAAAAACATATTGTTTACGTTTTTACCAAACAACACATGAAAATATTCTCGATCAGATTTACTTAAATCGCCTGGTAACAACATGTTAAAAATTAAACGTAATAATGCACTCGTCCTACAAAAAATAATCAGCATGACTCCATTCACCATCGAAGCAATTAAAAATATATTTTAAAGCAAACATTTAAATATGACCTCGCATGATGTCGTATTTACATACAATAGCATCAAATAATTAAAGTTCAAAAATAACGACTATTATATTGCCATTGCGAATAAGGAAACTTCTTTTAATAGTTCTGTTCATAAATCATTTAATTAGGATGATATTACGACAAACCGTTACTATCAAATGATTTTTAAATTAATGACATTAGAATTTACACTTTAATTATTGTATTAACATTAAAACGAACTTTACAATAGCGTAACATACCTGTTGTTTCTTCTGCATGATCTTCGCTTTGTTGGGGTCGACAACGTCGGCTTGTTGTGCGGCTTGCTCGAGTCTACGTCGTTGTTCGTTTTCGGCGTCGGCTTGCTATAATTTCAATATTTTTGAGGAATGCATTGATGGTAGATCGTAAACGTTACCGTTACAGACTATTAAGTCTATTGGTGAACATAAGCCTTCACCATAGATTGCCTCATCTGGTATAGTTTCCATAGCATTGCTGTGGCCCATAGACATCTACATTTATCGTTTGCGAATCAAAATGCAGATTCGTTGTCACCCGTGAGGACTAAGATGGAATGCCCCGTTTCCAGTAAAAAGGGTCTCCGGTTTTCTACACTCACCATACGAAACACAGCAGCGTCAAGCTGCTATTTTACGCTGGTATTCTGTGAGAGCGTGGTTCTTCCCCGGTGGAGCCGACCCATTCGTGCTACAACTATACTACTACTAATATAGCTGCAGCATGGCTCTACCACGAAACTGTAACGGATTATGCTAGTTTTTCTAGTAAGAAATAAGAGTGACAAAAGAGTATACAGTTCACCCTATGGTAAGTGGATGCTGAGGCCCATGGCCACCCATTATCTTTAATTCAAAATGGAGATGCGTTGCCACCCCTGAAGATTAAAACGAAACAACAACAGCAACAATAAATAAAGACTGCAGCATTATGCTGGTATTTCACGCTGATGTTCTGTGCGAGCGTGGTCCTACCCCGGTCGAACTGACCCAATCATGCTGCAACCATAATATAGCTGCAGCGTGCTATATGACGTCCACAATTGCATCGATTTAAATACTACCCTAACAAGTCTCTTGGTGTTGCAGATTGGCGACGGTGATCACATACCACCAGATGAGCCGATGACTCACTTGCCTCCTCTTCCATTAAAAAAAACTACAATAGTATAGTGGATGTATGTGTAGGGATGGCGTATATAATACATCATCATTCATCATCTTGTCCTGCGGTTGTCATATGAGAGAAGTATGGGAGATGACAGATTGGTCGAATGGCCTCTGAACGATGGCATCTCGTCTAGAGGACGGCCAATCGCCTGTCCAGCATGTTGACTATGGCTAAGCAGGGAGGACCTATAACTCAAATTTTCAGCAGTGAGCGTTTACGGTATTTATGGTGTTTGTTGGCATTTATACTCCCTACATTAATTAACTGAGAAGTGTCATTGGATTTAGCCGAAGAGACACAAGCAAATCCTCCTGTCACAAGTGACAGCTTCCAGTTGTTGGACAGCATCTATTTTAATAGAAATTTTTTAAAGGTGAATTCAGTACTAAATATGACAAAAAAAAGAAGAAAGTTGTCAATATTCTAAATTTTCAATATATCTATTTTCTAAAGGCAAAATTTCACTGACGATTTTGGAACTAAGTCCATTTTGATCGATTTTTTCAAACAATACAAAGGCGGTGTTTAGGCCAAACAATTAACATTTGAAATTTGCATTCACACTCGTGTGCGCCCGCTGACTTGTAGAGAGGTTTTTTGTTGAGTCTAGACAAATAGACGCCGGTTTGATTAATTATTTAGAATTAATATTGATTGCGACCAACGTCCGGTTTTTCGATGCGTGTGGAATTTACTATTGGAGTTTTTCGCTTCTAGTTTGCTTATCCTTAGTGCGTGCACGTGATGATGAAACAATAATAATTTGATGGATTAACTTAAATTTGTTGGCAAGTAATTTACGTAACTTGTAGTGATTATAATAATATAATAATAATAATAATAATAATAATAATAATATTCCACAACTATCAAACAACGCCATCTAGTCCCAAGCTAAGCAGAGCTTGTGTTATGGGTACTAGACAACTGATAAACATACTTATATATTTCTAAATACATAAATATTATAGATAAATTACACCCAGACACAGAACAAATGATCGTGCTCATCACACAAACATTTGTCCTGGGTGGGAATCGAACCCACGACCTCCGGCGTAGCAGTCAGGGTCACTAACCACTAGACCAACAGGCCAGTCCAGATTGTCGGTTGAACGCTGAACTTTGTGAATCGTGAAGAGATCGCGTTAGTTCCCTGTCTGTAATTTGGTGAAAAATGAATACGGAATATTGAATGTTGAACTTTGAACTACTGTCCGTTACTCGAGTCGATTATCACGTGTTTGATTCTCCGATGAACGTTGAATTAGTTGCGTTGGAAGTTAGTTAAATGTACAATAAAGTTGATAGACTGAAATAGTGACATGAAGAAAGAAATTAACCGTGGGTGACTCCGCTGGAGTACCACACCTTGGGGCGGCGCCGGAGTAAGAGTTGCTGCCGACTTCAACGGTCCAGTCAGGTCAACCATAATCCACACCACTAAACACTACTATACATGCACCTACACACCTTCAGCCTGACCGAACCTTGGGACAGTCTTCGCCTCAGACCCAGGTACGTACTATTTATTTGACTAGCCTTCTCCCTATAGTGTAGTAGGATAGGACAAGTTTCCATATGGCCATTTGGGCCCCGTCCTAGTTGTTCGTCGAATCTACCGCTGATGGGCCCCGGGATATTTGACCTTTGTAGGAACAGCTAGGTGCCTGAACAGGCGGAATAAGTTTGTAAATTTAATTTTAATTTTTCAATACTTTTACCTACTATGCGTTAGGTAAACAGTACTGTATAAGGCTTTAATTTTTTTCTGCGAAATCAAGTTTATAACTATAATTGTATAATCTACAATATCATACAACGATCTGAAAAAAAAAATTACCTTAAACGCCCTCGTGAATCGGACGAGTAGCGAGAAGAAAGCGTTCGCGTCGCAGCTACGCGGCGCCTCGCCGAAGTACTCCACGCACGACGCGAACGAATCCTGCGCACACAACACACGTTCCTGAGCATTGTAAGAAATCACTAAACATCTTTATCAGGTTCTGAACGTCTCTCATCATATCACATCACAATTTTTTAATTCTTTCCACCTCTGACGTGGGATCTAATATATGAATGGTCCCTAATCCGTACTATATTCTTAACACTAAGAATTACATAATTTAAAATTTAAAATTTTGTACAGCCGACTTCAATATAAGTTATTAAGAATAACTCAAATAACTCAAAAACTATTGGTGTGACCGTGTCATATGGGACGGAAGTATCAGCTTTCATATAAAAAAGAATCATCCAAATCGGTTCACCCAGTAAAAAGTTATGAGGTAACACACATAAAAAACATACGCGTCGAATTGAGTACCGTCTCCTTTTTGGAAGTCGGCAGAAAAGAGCTAATAGTCCAAAAGATGGCAAGTGGCCCAAGAACACCTGACATCCGTAGGTCACTGGTTCATCCGGCTTAAGGGACTAAACAATATAAGGACCCGATGAGTCTACGTGCTGTCGGTGTGTGCACCTGCAAGTGTGTGCGTGCGTGCGTGCTGTCGGTGTGTGTACCTGCAGGTGTGTGCGTGCGTGCGTGCTGTCGGTGTGTGTACCTGCAGGTGTGTGCGTGCGTGCTGTCGGTGTGTGTACCTGCAGGTGTGTGCGTGCGTGCTGTCGGTGTGTGTACCTGCAGGTGTGTGCGTGCGTGCTGTCGGTGTGTGTACCTGCAGGTGTGTGCGTGCGTGCTGTCGGTGTGTGTACCTGCAGGTGTGTGCGTGCGTGCTGTCGGTGTGTGTACCTGCAGATGTGTGCGTGCGTGCTATCGGTGTGTGTACCTGCAGATGTGTGCGTGCGTGCTATCGGTGTGTGTACCTGCAGATGTGTGCGTGCGTGCTATCGGTGTGTGTACCTGCAGATGTGTGCGTGCGTGCTATCGGTGTGTGTACCTGCAGATGTGTGCGTGCGTGCTATCGGTGTGTGTACCTGCAGATGTGTGCGTGCTTGCTATCGGTGTGTGTACCTGCAGATGTGTGCGTGCGTGCTATCGGTGTGTGTACCTGCAGATGTGTGCGTGCGTGCTATCGGTGTGTGTACCTGCAGATGTGTGTGTGCGTGCTATCGGTGTGTGTACCTGCAGATGTGTGCGTGCGTGCTATCGGTGTGTGTACCTGCAGATGTGTGCGTGCGTGCTATCGGTGTGTGTACCTGCAGATGTGTGCGTGCGTGCTATCGGTGTGTGTACCTGCAGATGTGTGCGTGCTTGCTATCGGTGTGTGTACCTGCAGATGTGTGCGTGCGTGCTATCGGTGTGTGTACCTGCAGATGTGTGCGTGCGTGCTATCGGTGTGTGTACCTGCAGATGTGTGTGTGCGTGCTATCGGTGTGTGTACCTGCAGATGTGTGCGTGCGTGCTATCGGTGTGTGTACCTGCAGATGTGTGCGTGCGTGCTATCGGTGTGTGTACCTGCAGATGTGTGCGTGCGTGCTATCGGTGTGTGTACCTGCAGATGTGTGCGTGCGTGCTATCGGTGTGTGTACCTGCAGATGTGTGCGTGCGTGCTATCGGTGTGTGTACCTGCAGATGTGTGCGTGCGTGCTATCGGTGGGTGTACCTGCAGATGTGTGCGTGCGTGCTATCGGTGTGTGTACCTGCAGATGTGTGCGTGCGTGCTATCGGTGTGTGTACCTGCAGATGTGTGCGTGCGTGCTATCGGTGTGTGTACCTGCAGATGTGTGCGTGCGTGCTATCGGTGTGTGTACCTGCAGATGTGTGCGTGCGTGCTATCGGTGGGTGTACCTGCAGATGTGTGCGTGCGTGCTATCGGTGTGTGTACCTGCAGATGTGTGCGTGCGTGCTATCGGTGTGTGTACCTGCAGATGTGTGCGTGCGTGCTATCGGTGTGTGTACCTGCAGATGTGTGCGTGCGTGCTATCGGTGTGTGTACCTGCGCGTGTTTGGTCTCGGCGCGCAAGCGACGCAGTTTGTCGCTCGCGTTGGCGGTGAAGTCGCGCAGCACGTGCGCGTGCGCGCCGCGCGCTTCGGCCTCTCGTCGCACAGCCTCCATTCCGCGCTCAAGTTCACACACGTCCGCTATCACGTTTTCCAGCGACACTAAACACACCAGATTCATTGACTTATACAGGATGTCCAGTAATTATGGATAACCTTGAAATGGCTTACAGCAGAACTGATGATCATTAAAAAAATATAAATTTTAATATTATTTAATTAAAAAAATTATTTAATGAAATATAAAAAATTGCTGTTTAAATAGTGAAAAAAAAAAACATGCTTCTAGTTAGAAGCTATAATTATACTAGTAATATTTTCGTATTTAGTTAATGAACAATTTGTATGCAAGATTGCTGGCTTCATTATAACCACATACTCGGATGCAGCGAGTTTCAGACTTAATTTGCGTGTCTTTACAAATTAAAATGTTCGAAGTCTTTTTGGATTTAATAATATGAAAGGAGCTTAAATTAACACAAAAACACAAAATAGATGGTACAGTGGATAATAATGAACATCAGCTCGAATTTCGGTCACGGCGGCCAGTCTCAACGAAGACTAGCCATCTTACGTAGGACAATAGTGCCCGGGTGCAGCGCAATCACAGGTGCACTCTCTATTCCTTCACTCTCATAGTCCGATGGTAAGGTAATCTGACCCGAACGGAGAGAGATCAAGCGCAGAACCAGCTGCTTTACGTTCTTACGTACTATAGTATAGGGGTAGGTTAGGGTGAAAATTTCCATCTTATGTTTAACTATAATGATTTATTACATTAATGTGAACACGTGATTTTATGGTTTTAATGTCGTTTTTTATATTTCTGACGCGCTTCGAGTACGTTATCTTTTGTAATCAACATTACCTATGGTTGTGGGCGCACTATGGGTGCTATAAAATCTTACACGAAATCTATAAAAATCTATTTTTTCTCGATTACAGTCTAATTCCACCTAGAGAAGATCATAATCATAATAATCATCACTTTCAGTGTGTGTGTCTGTGTTCTGTTTTTCAATTAAAATTACTAAATAAAGACTGACATACATTTAAAGACTAGTAAGTTTATAATCAATTTATCTCCTTAAAGCAATTGTGTGCCAAATAGTCATTTGTATTCATAAAATGACGCTTTAGCTTTAGCTTTGTTCCAACGGAACTGATGTCATTGTAGCCTGTTGCAACTAAGGTTGCCACCTATCATAAATTAAACCTTAATAGACTTCATTCGTGTGGGGGTGGCGTTATGGAATCCATCACTCTATTTCGTGTCGTGCGTATCGTAAAAGCCGGCTAAGGAGTATTCAAAAAAGATCTTGCGGCGTCCGAGAGATGGCTATATAACCATAGTTTTTACGCCAGGCGGAAAATACCAAATGACGGAAAACAGCGAATCCGCCAATCTGCCTGCCAAACGTGACGATTACGGCGAACTTTCTCTACCATAGGAGAGGTCTAGCCGTGGACTTTTGCGGGATAATAAACAAAAAGAAGAACAAGATATATAGGCCGATGCAGCTAGTTAACTGAGGAGCCTACCTTAAATTTTACAATAAAAGAAAAACCCAAATGCGTTTAATGAAATTTTAATTACAATTTTGAGTGCTGATTTACCACGTGTTCTATGATGAAGGAAAACATCGTGTGGAAATGCATCGAGAGGAAAGGGAACCGAAGTGGATTTTTCAATCTTATAAATCCGATCAGAGATGAAAAGCCAAATAGTAGCAATTATTCGGAGGAGGTCCGACCACATTTTTTTAGTTTTGTTTGACAGCGTCCTTGTCGCGACGTATTATAGTAAACATACACGTATTTTTAGTAGGTACGAGCGCATCAGACCATTTCTTCCTTCTACGGAGCTAGGAGCAGACAATAAAATGGCGCCATTAAAATTTTTTTCTTTACATCGAAGTGGGCTGTCGGGGGAACCATCATAAATTTTACTAGTAAAAATACCATTTTGTCGTGAAGGGTTGTGCTAACTACGACAAGAAGCACCATATAAAAATAATGTTATTTCTTATAAACGGTAAGTCGAAAATATATAATTAAATAAACTTGTTGTGTCGTGAAGGGTTGTGCTAACTACGACAAGAAGCACCATATAAAAATAATGTTATTTCTTATAAACGGTAAGTCGAAAATATATAATTAAATAAACTTGCTTGTCATATTAAAATTATCTTGATTTCGAATAGTCTCAACGCGGCAAAGACGAAGCGATACGTTTTTAAGACAGCCCAAACCAATCACGCTGATCACATCGTAGTTCAAAATTCTAATAGATGACAATAGTTATTATGTTACGGAAGACGCGCTAAGATAATGTTCATACTACGCCTAGGAATGCATAATTACACTTTCTAAACACGAAGCAATAGTCGCAACGTTGCCGTAACGTTTTAACGGTGGTAGAGCCACGCAGCAGTTTTTGCTGTTGCACGTATGGGCCGGCTCGAGCCGGGTTGGTACCACGACCTCACAGAATACCGGCGTGAAGTAGAAGCTCTGCTTCTGCGTTTCGTCTGGTGAGTGCAGTTGGCCGGAGGCCCAATTCCCCCCCCCCCCCCCCCCATCAACATGGTAGCGGAATTACACGATAGACTACCCCAGGACGGGTACCCACCCGTACCCCTGGAGAATCCCTCGCTGAGCATCCACGACCATGTTATTCCGATCCTGAGCGTGGGTGCTCAGGCTGCCCCGCGTATTCTAGGGGGGCAAAATTCCACTCTACGCAAACTGAGCAAGAACACCAAGGCGACCCCTGCCACGCTATCCGTGAATTTCTGCAACATCAGGGGACTTCACTCTAACCTAAACGCCGTCCACTACCATCTAGAGACGGCGAAGCCAGCCTTGCTCTTTCTGACCGAGACGCATGTTTCCTCTCCGGCTGATATTTCGTATCTCTCCTACCCGGGGTACAAATTGGAGCATTCCTTTGTGCCTCGGGCTGGAGTTTGCGTGTATGTCAGAGAGGACATCTGTTTTCGACGCCTCGGCAGTCTTGGAAGGTTCGGACCTGTCCATCCTTTGGCTACTCGTAGACAGCGACGACCATCCGCGCGTCTACGGGTGCGTCTATAGGTCTCATAGCGGTAATGCCGAAACAGACCGATTCATCGACCACGTCCAAATGGCTACAGATTCCTTGCTACAACAGGTCCCATCCGCAGAGATCGTGATCCTTGGCGATTTTAACGCCCACCATGCCCAATGACTCGGTTCACGTTTAACCGATCATGCGGGGAGATCTGTTTATGACTTTGCCTTGGCATATTGTCTGACACAACTGGTTACTTCGCCTACGCGGATTCCAGATGTGGAGGATCATACACCTTCCCTGTTGGACCTTCTGCTGACCTCTCATGCGGACGGATATCAGGTTTCCGTCGATGCCCCTCTCGGCTCTTCGGACCATTGTCTGATCCGGAGTACGGTGCCACTCACGCTCCCCTCGCGGTTGCGTTCTGCAGGTTGCCGCCGTGTTTGGCATTACAGGTCGGCGGATTGGGACGGAATGCGGTCTTTCTTTGCATCCTACCCATGGGGGCGGGTTTGCTCCTCGCCGGATGATCCCAGCGCTTTTGCTGACTCTGTCACTGATGTGGTGCTACAGGGAATGGAACTATTTATTTCATCATCTGTGGTACCCATCGGAGGCAGATCTCAGCCTTGCTTTGGTCACTCCTGTAAGACTGCATTACGCAATAAGCAGGAGTGTTATTAAGCCTGGGCTGCGGCTTCGGCGACTCGGGATGTAAACACCAGCACACTTAAAAAGAAGTATAACTTTGCCTCCAGGTCCTTCAAAAGAGTTATTGCCAAGGCAAAGTCAGAGCACATAGGCAGAATTGGCGAGAAACTAGTTCGCTCGGGAACCCTTGCATTCTGATCTGTCGCCAAGGCTGTCCAAGGGAATTTCTGTAAGTCATCACTACCATCTCTGCACAGGGAGGATAACTCACTGGCCCAAGACGCAAAAGATAAAGCCGACCTTTTAGGCTCCCTTTTTGCATCCAACTCGACTCTTGATGACGGGGGGAAAACACCGCCGACCATCCCGCGGTGTGAGTGCTCCATGCCAGATATGCTGTTCTCACAGCGCTCGGTTCGCAAAGCACTGCTCTCCCTGGACATCCAGAAGTCGAGTGTGCCTGACGATATCCCCCCAATTGTGCTGAGGACGTGTGATCCGGAGTTGGCACCGGTCCTAACGCGTCTTTTCCGGTACTCCTACTCCCAAGGCGTAGTCCCGAATTCATGGAAGACAGCTTTTGTCCACCCGATCCCTAAAAAAGGCGACCGCTCAGACCCATGCAACTATAGGCCTATCGCGATCACCTCCTTGTTCTCCAAAATAATGGAATCCATTATTAACTGCTAGCTCATCCGGTACCTTGAGGATCACTAGCTGATTAGTGACCGCCAATACGGTTTTCGTCGGGGTCGATCAGCTGGTGATCTTCTGGTCTACCTGACCCATAGATGGGCGGAGGCAGTAGAATCCAAGGGGGAGGTGTTGGCCGTTAATCTGGACATTGCGAAGGCCTTCGATCGGGTTTGGCACAAAGCGCTTCTTTCGAAACTCCCTTCGTATGGGCTTCCCGAGAAATTGTGCAATTGGATCACCAGCTTCCTTGCAGATCGGAGCATCAAGGTCGTTGTAGACGCTGCATGCTCTGACTACAAGCCTATTAACGCTGGTGTTCCACAAGGCTGTGTTTTATCACCAACGCTGTTTCTTCTGCATATCAATGATATGTTGCTAACTGGTAACATTCATTGCTATGCCGATGACAGCACTGGTGATGCTCTATACACCGGCCGTGTCAATATTTCTCGGGAAAACGTCGCCGAGTACCGGAACAAACTTGTGTCTGAAGTCGAGTCTGTGCTGAACAAAGTCTCGGATTGGGGGCGACTAAATCTAGTCCAGTTTAATCCTCAGAACACAAGTTTGCGCGTTTACCGCTAAAAAGAACCCCTTTGTCGTATCTCCTAAGTTTCAAGGCACTCCCCTTCTTGCCTCAGCCAGTATCGGTATCCTCGGAGTCGACATATCGAGTGACGTGCAGTTTCGTGGTCACTTGGAAGAGAAGGCCAAATTGGCCTCTAAAAAGCTTGGCGTGCTCAGCAGAGCAGGACAGTATTTCATGCCGGCACACCGCCTGCAACTTTACAAGGTGCAGGTTCGATCTCACATGGAATACTGTTCCCATCTCTGGGCAGGGGCTCCCCAGTGCCAGCTCCTTCCACTTGACCGCATCCAGCGCAGAGCGGTTCGAATCGTCGACGACCGAGTCCTTTCCGATCGGCTTGAATCATTGGCACTGCGAAGAGATGTTGCATCCCTTTGCATTTTCTTTCGCATCTACCATGGGGAGTGATCTGAGGAATTGTTCGGATTAATCCCAGCCGCCAAATTTCACGAACGCACATCGCGGCAGAACTCCCGATACCATCTACACCATCTGGATGAATGGCGGTCCACCACTGTGAGATTTAGAAGATGTTTTCTTCTTCGCACGACTTCCTTGTGGAATCGATTACCATCAGCGATTTTTCCGGACCGATACGACTTAGGGACCTTCAAGAAAAGAGCGTACTCCTTTTTAAAAGGCCGGCAACGCATCTGCAATTCCCTCTTTGGTGTTGCAGTTGTACATGGGCGGCGGTAGTCACTTACCATCAGGTGAGCCGCATGCTCGTTTGCCCCCTCTCCTATAAAAAAAAACACGAGTGCCGTACTGCAAGTTTATGTATACAAGAATAACATTAAAAAAAAAACTGGCCAAGTTCGTGACGGGCCACGCACTATATAGAGGCAGGTTTCGGTAGTGTCCGTCACAATACGTGGGCTTTCTTGATAGTGAAAATAATGAGTTCGCGGTTTAACCACTATAACGACTAAAATTGGGTCCAAATAGGAAGATCGTAACTAAAGGACTTATTTTCATATCAGCCTTATAAGAAGTGGTATTAAAAAAAGATTAGAAAACTTCGATTTTGATAATAATACCCTATCTATACCGCAAACGAAAAAGTAAAGCTATATTAGTAATGCATATCAGCCTTATTCTTCATAAAATGTTTATTTTTAAGTCTACAACAACTTTACATAGTTATTAATACAGCTAATTTTAGGTAATTTTCTATGGAGTTGTAACGAAATTTTTACTAATCCAAGTGTATTTTATAAGTTGGTCGACTATTACTCATTAACTTCTTGATTCTCCTTAGCAGTGACAGTTTTCGTTTTAACTTCATTATATATTCTACTATTGTGTATACTTTCACATTTCCAAAAACAGCGGTTTAGTTGGTAGAGGATGAGGACACATGGCTCTAATGAAAAATACCACTTTAAAGCTAAATACCCAGACAAACCCCAGAATCCAAAAATGTTGTTCCACACCCCCAATGCTTTTGAAAGACCTATCTAACGATACCCCACATGATGGAATATACAGGTAAAAAAAATCATCCTCCATTTATTTGTATGGGAAGTACCCAATATAAAAATGTTTTTTAAGATTTTATTTCACAGTTTTTAGGCGTGATCAATATCTATAACTATGCCAAATTACAGATTTATAGCACCTAAGACCTCTGAGGAAAACCGCGGACGGACGGATGGACATGGCGAATCTGTAAGGGTTCCTTGTGGTATAACTATGGAACCCTAAAAACTAGCGTTAACGCAGCAGTGCGGCCTGAAGGCGATATTTGCTTGTATGTAACATGCGGTGCAGTTTTAAACTGACAATTGTTGTATTAGTTTTGAATATATTTAATACAGTTCCCTCCAATGCATATCATATTTCTCAAATAAGCAATGCATATCGAAGTTATTGTTTTAAAACAAACGTCAAAAATAAAAATAAAGTAAAATAAAATAGTTACCTTGCGCAGCCTTATCAATATATAAGAGCTCTGTGTCGAAGTTCAACAGCTCGGGAAAGTTCTGTCGAATGGTCGCGACGATATAGTGCAGCAATGAAACTCTTTTGTCCGTGGACTTCGTATCCATCAGCGTGTCCAAAGACTGCAATTTGAATCCGTAAGCGGGACCTCGCTTGCTGCTGTTTAAATAATTTCCAAAGGCCAGAATTATTTCTAGAACGTTCCGCAACTTTTGCGAAGATTTAACGGACGAGGAACCAGAAATGATGGCATGAATTTGCGGCGTTATTAGATGTATGTTGTCAAAGAAATTTCCCATGTAGCTCATGATAGACAATTTAGCTGATATCCTTTCAACTTTTGCCAGCTGCATTAAGAATTTATCTTCTTCTGTCAACTGGTTTACATTCTTTTTCTCTGCAACGTATTCCTTGTAAGCCTTTTGCTCGGCTTCAGTTGGCACCATTCTTTGGAGTATCTCTACACTCTCTAAAGGTAGCTGTTTGAGATCTAGATTGTTTATTGCCGATATAACTTTTTCAACAGGCGTGTCAAGCTTTCTTCTTGATATCGCTGTATAAATAAGTTTTATTGTTATTTTGATAAACGGTGGTTTATTTGCATAAAGGAATATTTAAAAAAGTTGCAACATTGTAACTTTAAGTTTAGTTATTTTTTAATTTCAAGTTTTATCATTTTTCGTACAAAATTTAAATATTGTTATCGTAATATATAAATTTCAGTTGAGAAAAATTGCATGACAGAAGAAAACCTAGAGCTTACATTAATTATTCCAATTAACCAGATTTCTGGTTTTATTTATAAAAAGCTTTTAAATTGAAAATTAAATCATACATTATAAGCAATTTGCCCTTCGGCTTGCAAGGTGCTCCGTTAGTTTTTCAGATTAAAATATGCAAAGAAATCACAAACTATATGTATACCATACATGAAATCTGTTTTCAATTACGTTTTTCTTACTACAAGGTCTTTTATATATAAAAAGATATCATCAATTAGGTTTTGATCCATTTCGAAAATTAAAAACATCAGGTCTTAAAAATACAGCCACCATAAGTACTTGTACTTTCAATTATATTTATTTTAATGAAGATAAACAGTTTTTGCTCTCTTATATATAGGGAGGTATCATCAATACAATATTGATTTCTTTCGATAGATTTTATTGTGAAACACCAGTCAGAATAAGTCTAGTTTTAAGATAAAATCGCATTATAAAACATCAACCAGTGTAAGTAACTTGCCATTTGGCTTGCAAAATGCTACGATAGTTTTTCAGATTAACAAAATGTAAAGTAAATTCTACGCGTTAATGACAACGCGTTGATAAATTTGTTTTTCTAGGTTTAGTTAATAAACCCTAAATTCTACATTAATCAGAACAGTTAACTGATGCGCAACTCGAGCGTACTGAAATCTAGATCAGATAAACAATCATTAGTGTCGGGCCTGCGGAAACGCTTGATAGCGAGACAAGATTTTTCCGGTATTGGTTTAACCCTTTTAAGCCCTTAGACTGGTTCGATTCCCAATAAGGTTTAGTTTGGTTCTCAGAGACTACACTACTGTTCTACATACAGCAGCGATATACCAACCGATATTTCGAAGACGCGTATGCTCTAGCAGCGAGACGGTATCGGGCCTTCGGAATCGCTTGCTAGGGAAGGAGGCAAGATCTGCTTCACAGGATGCTGCGTGGGGGGCAGCTCCCCCCAGGCGGAACTTCTGTTCGAACTCCGCAAAGTTGATCCTTCGTCGCGGACGCTCCTCATCCAACTCATTGAAAATCGTCCCACGCACCTGAAACAATGCTACACTTATTGCTGTTCTAACCGATTTCAGAAGTTTTGAAGGGAAATTGGGAAGCGTAAGCCTCTGATTTATGATTTAAATATTAATTTAGGGTGATTTAAGATTAAGATTTAAATAACAATTTAGTACGTTAAAGTAGTGCGATTATTGTTGTATTAAATGTTTGATGAAATGAACCATTTGAATAATTAGTGGAAACTGGATATACACCTTAAGTTGCGAGCAATTTCGAGAAATCAAATTCAACAAAAAAGTTTGGACGGTGTAACCGCATATATAGAATGAATTTTTTTACCGTCTGGAAAGTTATATGGTGTTCTGTGTAAGTGGAATAATATGGAAGCTATTCTCGAAAGTATTTGTAATATATAACTGATAGGCAAAATTTCCGAATATCAAAAAATACATAAAAACAATCCTATGGCATTTTCGTAAAACTAAAGGTGATATTAAACGGCGTAGGCTACGAATGAATAAATGAAAGTTCTAATCGCTATAATGAATTTAAGACAGTTTCTAATAATATTTTTATGTCTTCCACCGTATACTGCAACATCATTTAATAGAAATTAACTTATTTACAAACTACACTGATATTTACAAAATTATACCACATTATTGTTATTTACAACAAAAAAATACCTTTTTAGCGGTATCGCAGTAATTGTTCAAAATGTCTACCGTTTCTTTCTAAACATAAACTAGCACGTCTTTGTAAATTGTTTATTAAATTTTGAAGCGCATCTAAATCACTATTTATATATATCATATTAAATGCGTGTATTATGCGCTGCTTTAAATCACTAACATTTTATGCTTCATCTGTGTACAATAATGATTTTAGTCCGGCCCACAAAAAAAAAGTCTAAGAGGTGTTAGGCCTGTAACGCGGAAACATAAACAATACGACGTGACGCCGTGATTAATTTCAGGTGACTGAAAGCTGAAATGAGAGCGCGGGGCGCAGGCGGGTGTGCGCATGCGACACTTGCATACTACTAAAGGAAATCAAAGAGGCCTACCGCGGGTGCATCGAGTGTTGGTTGTTTTCAAAGTATACTATAGTATCGCGTTACAAATTCATTACTATTATTGCACCTCGTAAAGTAGGGTGCGTATGATTAGAATTTAGATAGTTTTTAATTTTTTTTCTTTGTAAGTGATGTTAGCCTATGCGGCTTTTACAGCTTTATCTGACCGTAACCATTGAAGTAAAATGCACTACGCGCAAGAACTGACACTACGAAGGGGCGCGTGGTCGGAGGGAGCACAGAGTACCTTTTTACGGGGTACAGCTTAAGTAAGTTTGAGCCCCTGGGCTCTAGCACGTGCTACAAACAATCAAGTCTCAGCGTCTCTTCTAATACGTAATACATATTATTTCAAACATCGCAACAAAAGTCACTCGACAAGATATAAACGCACTTGATTTGGCTTTAGTGCGATCCAGTTGAGCGTCGGTAGCTTGTATTTGGTCTCGACCTTCCTCTTGATCGTCATCGCATCGGTGTGGTGCGGCGGCTGCATGAGGCCGGGCGCTGGTGGGGCGGGGGGTGCAGGTGGTGCGGGGGGCGCGGGGGGCAGCGGCGGCACGCATGGTGGCGCGGGGGGCGCCGGCGGCGGCGGGGGAGGGAGTGGGGCGGTGGAGGTGGGCGCGGGGGCGAGGCGGGGCGGCGGCGGCGGGGACGGGCCGCGAGAGTTCACCGCACCGTTGGCCAGCGGGGGCGGGGGCGACGGCGAGTGCCCGTTGCTCGTGCCATTGCACAGCGCGTGCGATGATATCGCGCCCACTGTAAATAAATATTATAGTAAAAATATGATCTAATCGAAACATACAAAAAGTGACAGCGTAAGTCTACTACCCAACATCTTCATAAACACTCAAAATATATAAGGCATTCCACGGGTGACGAAGTGTGAGGAAGACTATCTGTCTCGCTCACACCGCGTCAACTGGTCCCCTCCGTTTTACTCAAACTAGAAATTAAAAGACTTGAGGAAAGCCTTAGGGTACACAAAAATCATTTTAGACTGGTAAGGAAAATCAATTTACATTTGTGTTTCTTTAAAAAAAATTCCATAAGTTAACAAAGAATCTTGCAAGTGTTATATCATTTTGGAATCCTTATTACATGTGCCAACTTTTAAAGTTACTTGCCAAACTTGTGTCTTACATTTTTTTTTCAGTACAGTTATTTAAAACTGGGCAAAGAATTAATTTTCAATACTTGGTTGGGAAAAACATTACTTTTCCTTCTGGACTGGAGCAGTTGGCTGTAAATTGTAAGCAACAGTTTTCAAAAGCAATATTCAGAATTACATAATAAAAAGAAAATAAAAAGAAAATTAGCAACAGGAGTCAAAAGAGCACCACAGGTTGTAGATTTTCTCGATCTTTTTAAATTCTGTCTGTAATTTTTAAAGCACATAGCAAATATATTTTTCTGTTAACTATTATGACTTGACCCATCGCCCGATTCCGGCTTGACGTCGAAAATTCGTTTATTCAATTACTTTCTGCAATATATTACTCACTAGAAGCACCTCTCGGCAAGGATTTAGTGAGAGTCTCCAACTCTTGAACCTTGGACTCCAACATGGACTGCCTGTTGCGGGAGTCCTGCTGTGCTCGCCTCAACGTTGAAACCTAAAAATATCTTTAAACGTTACAACCTATACAGAAAATTTAGTTTATAAGCAGCAAATGTACCTACAAACGACGAACTTTGCTACTTTAAAACTAAATTACAGATATATTTCAGTGTACTCCGCAAATAATTAAAGTAGAAATTTTTATTTTTATTATAATGGTAAAAAAGACATGTTTTTACAGAAACAGAAACTTATTTATTCAATATAGATTATAAATTATACTCTTTTGTTTAATTACCACTGGTTTGAAAAAAACCTCTGTCCTGAAGAACCAGCAAGAAACCCAGCGGGACTTTTTTTTAAATAACAGCTTACAATCATGTAATCACAATTAACCACACAAAACAAATTAAGAGATAGCTTGGTAGCGATCACCTCATTCCCAGGGGTTATTATCATCCAAAAATTCCTTAATATTATAATAACCCTTTTTATACAAACTTTGTTTAATAAAGTTTTTGAACTTTGAGCGGGTTAAAATTTCACAGCAGGTTACATTCAGTTGCATTACTCTATGGCAGATAGACTGGCACAGAATGCCAATTCGCCTATATACAGGTTGTCCGGTAAGTAATAGATAACTCCGCAGGTACTAGTGTGGAACCACCTCTACCACTTAATATATCTCAGTATATTCAATATAAAATATATCTTAGTCTAGATTTTTTAAAAGAATGAAATTTGATACCTCCGTTCATATTTTTGTGCATTACGGCTACAAATTTATTAATAACCAATTGATTTTCTGGTAATAACCGTGAATGTTTGGCCTTGCAATCGCGAATTACAAAATATTTCTAGCTGTAACTGTTTCTTTAAACACTAAAAAAATCGATTTTACAATGACGATGTTTTAGCACCAGTGGTACAACTTATAGTAAACTCATTATTTTTGTTGTCAAGTTATTGCTAGTTACATTCGGGAAGGATGATTTTTCACAAAGTTTAATATTCATTAAAATCACAAAAGCCTGCAAAAATTGCGGGCTAAAATAAATTATATTTCGAGTTACTAATTGTGTTCAAATAATGATGGGAATTCGGAAAGGGATGACTGACGGGCAGGCCTCAAGCTTAGGTAGCTGACCTTGAATGGTTTACTACCTTGTGCGTTGGCACACGATCGAGGGGTATCTTATTGTGAGAGAGATAAACAATAGAGTAAGAGCAAAGATACAAAGGAAACTTCCTTAAGTTTCTTCCTTTTTGATTAGTCTGTATTTCGATACTCTCGATATCAGATGTTCTTATTGGCCCCACGTGTCCCCCGGGTGGTGCTAAACGAGCGACAAAGCCGAAACAATAGACTCGGCTCCTCGCCGTATGGTAGCGGCGTAAAATCTACCACCCCTTATGTCGCACCATTAGCTAACAATTAAAAGACATGGCTCCGAGTTCCCGGCGCCCCTTTAATGGGGCAGGGGTGCGAAGAATCTCCGGGAGGAAAACCGGTGACGAGGTTCGCCACCCGTCACGTCCTGTCTCCCGGAGGGGCGAAAAGTGGATTGCGGAGGCCCGTCTGGCTACGCTGAATGTATGTGGAGCAATGAATGATAAGATGGATGAAATATGCGAAATGATGAATGATAGAGGAATAGATGTGTTATGTGTGAATGAGACGAAACGAAAGGGAAGAGATGTCACTGCACATGGCATGTATACCACTCACTGGTCTGGTGTAGACGAGAACGAGCGGGCATGCCAGGGAGTCGGTGTCATCCTTTGAGAAAGAATGGGTCAATGTGTGAAAGAGTATGAATGTGTAAGCCCAAGGCTGCTGTGGATACGAATGAAAGTGGGCTTAATGAAGTTGTTCGTGCTTGGGGTGTACGCCCCGATATGTCTAAGCCCACTTATATCCGAGAGCAGTTTTGGGACATGGTAAGGCTGGTGTAGACGAAGTGTAAGGAAAATGAAAATATTATTATGTTAGGAGATTTTAATGGAAGGGTTGGGGTGAAGAGGTCTGGTTATGAAAGGATATTAGGAGCGTTTGGCGATGAAAGAATAAATGAGAATGGTGAAGACCTATATGTGTGGAAAAGAATATTTTTGTGGCGAACACTTTCTTTCGCCATAAGAGGATTCACATGTATACTTGGGAAAGAGGGGTGATAGAAGCATGATAGATTTCATAATTGTGGATGAAAGAATGAGGAGCGCAGTGGTAGATACAAGGGTTTACCGTGGGTCCAACGTAGGGACGGATCATTACTTGGTCTTATGCCGAATTAATGGTCTATGCAAGCGTTGGCGGCAACGGACATCTGTGTCTACCACTGCGTTACAGCGTATAAGAATAGAGAAGTTACAAGATGAAGGTGTGAAAGAGAAGTATAAATGCAGACTGAGGGAAAATATAAGTGTGTTGAATGAATTATGTATGAATGATTTAGACTTGAAGAATGTATGGAATAAAGTTAAGAAAGTTTTGGTTTATACAGCCACCGAAGTATGTGGTGTAAGTAAGAGAACGAATGAAAGGAAAAATAACACGTTGTGGTGGGATGATGAGGTACGGATGGAAGTTGAAGCAAAGAAGAGAGCATGGCTAGATTTACTAGCAACCAAAGCTGGTAATTCTGGCAGTATGAATGATGAGATTGAAAGAAAAAAGGCAGACTTTAGACGTATAAATAAGAGAGTAAAAGAAGTTGTTGAAAGGAAAAAGTAAGAAAGGATAGATACGAATGATAGAAGAATATCTGATAACTTCCAGGCAAATATTGAAATGTTCTGGAAGCTCGTAAGAACTGCCAGGGGAAATTCAAAACAGCCTAGAATGAATGCTATACGAGACGAGAATGGATGCATGCTGAATGATGGAGTTTCGAATTTAAAGAGATGGAAGGAATACTTTGAAAGCGTGTTTAAGAGTGAAGAGTCGACTGAAGTAAGTGAAATAGAAATTCCGAAAGAAGTGGAGAGAGGTAGGGAGATGAAATAATGAAAGCAATTAAAAGCATGAAAGCAGGTAAGGCAGCCGGATATGATAGAGTATCACTCGAAATGCTATAGGCTGGAGAGGGTGTGGTTGCAGGCCTGCTGTACACCTTGTTTAATTTTAGTCGGGAACTGAAGCGGGTACCGGAAGACTGGTGCAAAGCCGTTATAGTCCCAATATATAAGGGAAAGGGGTCGCAGCAGGACTGTAAAAACTACCGTGGTATCAGCTTGTTTAGCATTGTGGGTAAACTGTATGCTTAGGTGTTAATTGAAAGAGTTATGGAAGAAACTGATGGAAAAATTTGGGATGTGCAAGCTGGATTTAGAAAGGGGATGGGGTGTACGGATCAAGTATTTTCCATGCGCATGATTGCGGAGAAATTTTTGGCCAAAAACCAGAAAGCTTTTTGTGCGTTCATGGACTTGGAAAAGGCTTATGACAGAGTGGATAGGAACATGTTATGGCAAACACTGACCTCATTTGGGTTGAGCGTTGGTCTGATACCGGCATTAAAGTCTCTTTATAGGGACTCTAGTGCTTGTGTCAGGATCAACGGGGCCTACTCGGACTAGTTTGGCATTCAAAAAGGTGTCAGACATGGCTGTGTAGCTTCTCCGTGGCTGTTTAACCTATTTATAGACAGTTTTATTGCAAACTTTGAAAGTTGAAGAATGTGGGTTGAGTATGGGTGAGTTAACCGTCAAATGCCTTTTGTACGCCAATGATCAAGTCATATTTGCATCGTCGGCGGCCGAGTTGCAAATGATGGTTAATTTAATGAACTGGTCATTAAAAGAAAGGGGTATGAAAGTGAACGCAAGTAAGACGAAAGTGATGGTTTTTTGAAAGAGAAGAAAGTAAAACGTTATGTGAAATAAGAATAGAAGGGGAGTTAATTGAGCAAGTGGATGAGTTTGTATATTTGCGTTGTTTATTTAGCAGGGATGGTAGATATGATAAGGATATAGAACGACGAGTGAACGCAGGAAATAGAGTTAATAGGGCTCTACACGCTATTATGAAGAGTCAGAATGTGTCAAAGAAGGCACGTAAGGCAATTCATAATGCTGTGTTAGTCCCTACTTTAATGTACGGTAGTGAAAGTTGGGTATGGCAGAAGAAGCATGAGAGTAGAATAAAGGCTGTAGAAATGCGGTCATTACGGAGTATGCTAGGGCTGAATCTGAATGACAGAGTGAGAAATAGCGTGATAAGAGAAAAGTGTGGTTTGCAAGATGACGTTGTGACTAGGATTAAAAAAGGAATGCTTCGGTGGTTTGGTCACGTAGAAAGAATGAATGAGGAAAGAGTGACAAAGCAAATTTATGTTTCAGAAGTAACGGCAAATTCGGGAAGGGACGCACTAGACGAAGATTTATCGACCAAATCGGCGATACATTGGAAATGGGCCAGATTAGGAGTACCCTTAACCGAAGAGCGTGTATGAGTAAATATATGGATGTAAAGGAGGCGAGAGAGGTGTGTCAGGATCGCGCCAAATGGAAGTCCGTAGTCTCTGCCTACCCCTCTGGGTGACAGGCGTGAGTGTTTGTATTTGTATTTATTATTTCTTACTAGCTGTGCCCGCGGCGTAGCTCGCGTATACAGGTTTTACATAAAGAATTTGTCGTTTAGGTAAGAGAATATAAAACGATTTATTTCATTACTGTATCAATAAGTGGTAACTAAATAAATCATTATCATCAAAGTTCTAAGTCGTTTATGATAGAGCTTCTGTGTAAACGACGTTAGAAGTAGGCTTAGCCGGGGTGTACACAAAAAGGTTACGGGGGCTACTAACGCGGGAAAAAGCAACATAGAGTTGGCCATGTGCAAAACAGTCAGTACTGAGGTATACTCCTACAACGCGTAAAGTTTGACCTTGCGCTTTATTTACGGTCATCGCATAACACACGCTTACTGTAACTGGGAACTGAACGCGCTTAAAACTGAAAGGAAAGTTACTTCTTAATAGAGGGTTTTTGGGCAGTGCTGCCAGATAAAAAAAAACTCATTCAGCTCTAGGACAACACAAAAAGCGCTAGATT